AAGACGAGAGATTGGCTATATGACTCGTCTGAAGGACAACAGGTGTATAGCTCGAGTTGCCAACTGGATCCACCTCAGCATCAAGCACTCACTCGGTGGTCCACCAATGCGCTGCGACGATCCAATGATGAACCTGTTTTACCAATAGTAGAAGCACACAGCACAACACTGGCATGAGGAATGAGTTACGGAACGTCGACTAATGCCTTCAGCGCAGCAGCTAATGAAGGCAAGTTGTATAGAAGGGCAGAAGAAGTTTGCTTTGCCAATCTGAAGTCCTCTCATGTGTTTCCTTTAGGGGTTGCAAAATTCGACCTATTAGATCAGTTGCTTCTCGACTCCTGATTTGTTGCTATCTACATTTCCATGCACCTCTTCATTGGCTTCATAATCCTCTTTCCGGAAATGCTCTTCTACGATTCCGAACTGTCCTCGTTATATCCTGACAAATTACTTAGATGACAACTGCCTGTCTTATTTGTTTTTCCTGCATTCCGTGGAGGACGTCGAATCTGTCATTTAATTTGAGTTGGAATAGAGGAGATTCCCCTTTAGTGTTTTCAGATTAAGCACCTTGCATTTAATCCGCATAATTCTCATTCTCTCAAACTGAGTCCAGGTGCAGCGCACTTAGCATCTGACGAGCCGGTAGTCGTTCCGACCCTCTGAGCACCGTGACTTCCACCTTTTCCTAACCATTATGGCATACGTGTTGTTGAGGATGAAATCGATTTTATCCTTGACCTCGCTTGAGCTTCACCACGATAATCTTTTGCTTGGTAGTTTGAAAAGGTGTTCATAATAAATAACTTGCTATTCTGAACAAATTCCACTGTTTGGTCACCGTACCATAATGAAATCACATCAGAGAACATTCATTATGTTTCTGCGGTCAGCCTTTTTGTTGAAATCACCAATGACGAACTTGTAGTTGCTCTTTCCATGTTCATGTTCTTTTCTGTTTCTTGGTAGAAATCTTCAGCCACCATCAAGATGGCATTCTGTTGGC